GTTAAAGAAATGGCATCAGTTTAACAAGAAGGTAAAATTTGGGCATTTCTAGAAAATGTTTTTTCCCTTTGGAAAAGAGAACAGGAACGTATCTCATCTCTTCTCCTGGGGATTAGGTCCTGATATGATTTGGGCAGCAGCACTGAGAACCATGTTACCAAACTGAAGAGGGAGCCTACAGAGATTGAATTTGAGCTCTTGACAAGGTGTTCCTGGTCCTCTTGTATGCCCAATTTGACCAGAGTTTCCTGGTACTTGAAGGTTAAAGCACACTTGATTTTTGCCTCTTTTACATACTTCTTATTTTGATAACTAGTTTTACCAAGCTGTTGCTTTTATTAAGATTTATTTGTATCTTATGCTGTGGCTGCATGTATTCCAATGCTAGTTTCAGTCACCTAAAATTGTTTGCTAGAGAGGATCTGCACATAGCTTCTGAGAACCTGCCCCCAGTGAGTTCTGATTGGTAAATAAGGATACCAGCAACCAATAGTTGGGGAAAGAAAGAGAGAGGCGGGATTTAGGGCTCCCTAGCTTGGGGCCCTGAGACCCCTAGGAAGCAGGAGGGAAGGAGGGAGACTCCACGCCTTAGGAATGTACAGGATAGAGACAAGAGCTGCCATGGGGTAGAAAAGCAAGGAGAGCAGCGCCCTGGCTATGAGCCAAGAAAACGTGCCCTGAAGGGCTGCTCAACTGTGTCAAGAGCAGTCAAGATGGAACAAAGAAGTTAGTAAGTAGTAATTCAGAATTATCGTTAGAAAAGAAGATTCTAACAACATGGAGGTTAGGCAGTTGCCCAGCTATTGAGCTGCTTAAGGCATATTAAAATATAAGGGCTATGTGTGTGTCTTTCATTCAGGAACATAAACCATTGAGGTGGATAGCAACTCCGTGCAGGGATTTATTAAAATAGTAATACTACAGTATCCATGTGGGTGTGTTTTGCCTGAGCGTGTCTGTGTACCCCATGCTACAGTGCTCCAGGAAGCCAGAAGAGGCCACTGAGTCTCCTGGTGCTGGAGTTACAGATGTTTGTGAGCTGCCATGGAGGTGCTAGAAATCAAACCAGGGTCCTTGAGGAGAGCAGCTAGTGGCCTTAACTGCTGAGGCATCTCTCCAGCCCCCAACTGTTTTTGAAAGAGAAGAAAAAAGGAATGAACTGTGGATAACCAACATTTTATTGTATAACATCATAAAAGAAAAAAAAGTTTTTTTTTTTTTTTTTTGGTTTTTCGAGACAGGGTTTCTCTGTGTAGCCCTGGCTGTCTTGGAACTCACTCTATAGACCAGGCTAGCCTCGAACTCAGAAATCCGCCTGTTTCTGCCTCCCAAGTGCTGGGATTAAAGGCATGCGCCACCACTGCCCAGCAAAAAAAAAGTAAAGTTTTATTACTTTAATTTCTAAACACGTGCTCAGAAATAAAATATGAAACAGCAAAGAACTCAATTAAGATATATATGTAAGGGCTAGGGTGTAGCTCAGTGACACAACCCTTGACTAGTATAAGTAAGCCACCAGATTCAGTTCCCCAGAGGAATATACCCAATTGTTCTGCCTCTCTCAGTTCCAGCGAGCTAATATTAGAAAAGTCCATGGCTGGATGGTGGTAGCACACAGCATTCATGATGCATTAGGAGGTGGATCTCCCGGTTCTAGGCCAGCCTAGTCTACAGAATGAGTTCCAGGATAGCCAGGGCTACACAGACTCAAAGCAAAACAAAACAAAACAGGCTCTAGAACACCTTGCCTGATGCAGGTGTTCAAATGTCCTCATTGCTAAGCCTTTCCACCTTTTCAGTTCTTTTCAGTTCAGATCATTCAGGAAGAATGACACCCCCCTCTCCATACACACACACACACACACACACACACATTTTCTTTTCTTTTCTTCCCTTTCCTTTTCTTCTCTTCTCTTTTCTTTCTTTCTTCCTTTCTTTCTAAGTAACTTTTTTGTCTTCAAAAAAATTTTTTTTTTTGGTTTTTCGAGACAGGGTTTCTCTTTATAGCCCGGGCTGTCCTGGAACTCACTCTGTAGACCAGGCTGGCCTCGAACTCAGAAATCCGTCTGCCTCTGCCTCCCAAGTGCTGGGATTAAAGGCGTGCGCCACCACCGCCCGGCTTCAAATTTTTGTTTTATGTGCATTGGTGGTTTTGCCTACACATACATTGATGTGAAGGTATCAGATCCTCTGAATCTGGATTCATAGACAGTTGTGAGCTACCATATTGGTACTGGGATTGAACCCTAGAAGAGCAACCAGTGTTCTTAATCAATGTGCCATCTCTCTGTCCCCTGTCTTTTCTATTCTTAAAGCTACAGCTCTTGGGAGTGTGTGTGGGGAGGGGGGGTGTTGATGAGGAGAACACACTGACATACTGTGACTTGTATGAAAAGTCAGAGGACAAGGGGTAGGAGTTCTCTCTCTCCACCTTGTAGGTCCTGGGAATTAAACTCAGATCACTGGACTCAGTAGCAAGTGCTTCTAACTGCTAAATCCTCCTTATTTTATTGGTTTACTTGTGTATGTGTTTGAGTACAGGTACACCTGAGCCATGTGTGAGATTCCTACCAGTTTTCTGAATCACATCTCTGCATAGATTCTTCCTAGGAGAATCCAGTAAAGGTTTTCTTTTCAAGATAGCTATGTTCTTAAAGCTCACTAACTCCACATCCCAGCTCCCAGCCCTTTCTGTATTCCCTTTGAGGCCGCTTTGCTCAAAGTCTAACACGTGAGTTGATGAAGACACTTCGTCAGCTGCCTTTCCAATTTCTAACTCCCTTCCTGAATCTTCGCTCAAACCTGATGCCTGCTTCCCCAACACTCTAGGCATTCTCTCCCTGGTTCTGCAGGGAGATCTTTTGTATGCAAATTCACACCAAAGGCTGGTAGACTTCCATTCTGAGCCTGTCTACCTTCCTGATCCCTAACTAAAACCTTAACTTCTCTCTTATCTCCCTCCCCTTGCAGCTTCTCAGAATCCCGCATTGCCTGACCTGTTGTTTTCTTCAAACTCCAAGAAAGTGATCCCTTATGTTTCCTTCTGAGTCTTTTAAACTTTAATTAATTGATTAATTTAGCGGGGGAGGGGCATGCAGGCAGGTGTGTGGTGTCAGAGGACAACTCTCTGAAGTCAGTTCTCTCTTTCTACAATGTGAATCTCCATGCTCAAACTCAAGTTACCAGGCTTGGCAACCAGTATCTTTACCTACTGAGATGGCTCACAGACCCTTGGTTTTAAAATTCCTTTTTGGGGGGAGGAGGGAGTTGTTTATTTTGACAGGGTTTCTCTAGGTAGCCCTTCCTGTCCTAGAACTCACTACATAGACTAGGCTGGCCTCAAACCCACAGAGATCAGCCTGGGCCTGTCTGAGCTAAGGATTAAAAGCTGGTGCCCCCATAGCCAAGCTGGTTTTAAAATCCTTTTAGCTATGAGTCTAAAATTCATACTAAAGCCTGTGTTCCCTGATAACAATGGCCAGGCCTCTTTCTATCATGTCAAATTTAAGACTTATGTCAGTGGGGAAAAGTTATCTTTTTCTAACTTAAATCCTGGCAAAATACCAACACATTTTTCCTACAGCGGTACTCCTAGACTCTTAAAAACTGTATAAACAGAACTCTTACATTTTTGTCAAGATTATATATTAGGGCTGGTGTGTGTGTGTGTATGTGTGTGTGTGTGTAAGCACTAGCTTGGGTGGGGGGGCAGTGAGGGAGGAGGAGGTGGGGAGGGAGGGAGCTCTTGACCTAGAAATGAGCAGAATATGTGCTTAAGGTTCTCAAGTAGCTTAAATCATCAGCAATAACAAGTAAAGTAAGTCTTTAGTGAGACAGTGTTTCACAGTGTGTTCCTGGAAAGAAAACACAATAGCAACTCCCAATATACATAGTTTAATGTCTGCAGAATTTGTTTACTGCAGCTAGGATCCCACTGAGGACTCACTCCAGCTTAGTAGGACAAACCAAGAACAAAACAGTGTTTGAACCATAGAAAAGATGAGACATCTCTCTGTGGGTCTCAGTCAACAGACACACTTCTTCTAGCCACCCCCTACTCTAGTTCAGTTTTGTCTGTCTGTCTGTCTGTCTGTCTGTCAGTCTGTCTGTCTGTCTGTCTGTCTGTCTATCTATCTATCCTTTTACCATCGATCTCTTGATCATCTATCTGTCCTAAATCCTTATGTTCTGCAGCCTTCAGAAATCCTCACAGTTCTCCCTCCTCTGTGGGACAAGAGTACTAGAGAATGAATCTTTCCAGGGTATTGTTCTCTTTACTTAGAACATCTGGAAATTCCAAGTACTGAATTGATCATGTAAAATGAAAATAGATGCAGAATGATGGAGAAAGTTGTTTTTTTCCTAAAGAGTTTTATACACGGGATGAGTTGCTACACAAACATCATGCCACCCGTGACTTGTCCATGTCTGCACAAGCTGGCAAAACTGCCCAGGTTCAGAAATGATAGGGTAGTCCATTTTGCCTTTTGACTGGATTCTGGCATGTTTTTCGTATGTACAAGACCACCCTTATTTGTCCAGTTCCTGCTTATCTTTACCCCAAAGAATGAGAAGCAATTGTGCTAACATCCTTTCTTACAAAACCCTCAGTTCTCATTAATGTTGCTGGCTTAAGTAGGTTTCCACACCAAGCCAGTGTTATTCGCAAATCCATCTTGTCCTGGATAAAACTGCCTTTGTGTCTATGGCTTCTTGGCTTACAGAGCAAATTTCAGAGTGAAATTCACTGAAGTCCGTTCAGCTGCTGGCAAAACTCTTTGATCTCAAGCCCAGTCATCATCTACAGGCGGAATAAAATTGAAAGCAAAATGTAATCTGTGGTATTTTCAAATATTATCTGTAACATTTTATGATCAACCTAGAAAGGCAAAATATTAACCAGGTGCTTTGCCGAATTAGAATGGCTAAACACCTTTCCTTTTAATTGAGAGGGGAGACCGCCCCATCCCTAAACGCTGTGGGTGTGGCTTCTCCCCTTCGCGACTCCTCCCTCTGGCCCTGGAAGGTCCCCACTCTAAGGAATAAACAAACCCACTTGTGGCTCTTTCCTGCCTTGGGAGCAAAGAGAATTCTCCAGGGAGGTGAGTACTGGCAGAGCCATTTTTCCTACAGGTTGGCCTATCCTACCTTTTAAACGCTTAGAAAAAGTACTTTAACTTCAGGTCTCGCTCGGCACTGGAAGGAGTGTTTATCCTCAGACCGTGCTTTCTTGTGCGTGTGCCTAGAGAACACAGCAAAAGTCCTTTACCTTGTTTGTTTGATAGGAAGAATGTAGAAAATGAGAAAATGAGAGTTTAATGGCTTGAGAAATTGTATTATCGTTATTAGCGGCCCTTAGATTCTTACACCCAGGTCTGGGGGAGGCTGCGAGAGGAATCCGGAAATTTTACAGCCTTTCTGAGCACTGGCTGCAAAGTTACAAACCCTGCAGCCGCCTCCCCGCAGACATTGGACCTCATCCTCAATGCTTCTTTCCTCTTCAGCAGAGCTGCAATCCTTTTTCCTTCCCCTCTCATAGAGAGGAGAGATGAAGACAGTGCCTTCGGAAGCGGGGGAGGGGAATTCCCTCCCTTCCCCCTTTAAAATTAGAAAATGTTTCGTTAATTTATTCTTTGATAATTCATACACGTATATAATCCGGCTTGGTCATTTCTTCCCACTGTTCCCAAGTTCCCACCCCACTTTCCTGTTTTGTTGGTTGGTTGGTTGGTTTGGTGTTCAGTGCCCCACGTGATGGCCTGGCTTTTGTCCCATCTTGAACAGTGTTGACAAACTCAGTGGGCGGCAGGTCTTTTGCCGGCTAAGCAGCTGCTGTGAATTCACAAGCATCTGAGCCCCCTTGTGCTTGGAAGACAGGGATGCAAGCCTTGAAGGCTTCTAAGCATTGAAAATTAACACCTAAGCTTGGTTTCTTTTGGTGGTGTGGTTTCTTCCTTTAAGCTTGCTGGGGTTTAGGTACAGCCTCAGCTCCTAGGGTTTCTGAGACTTTCAGTAAAAAAATGTTTAACCCTTTGTTTGCTTCATAGCTTGGGAAACTGGGGAGCTGAGTAGCCCTTGTCTTCAAACCCTAACCTATCTGGTCTCACCATGAGAAAGGAGCACAGCATTCCACACAAACCACTGCCCTGCCAATGTGCATTTTTTATTAGTTTTTAAAAAAATTTATTGAATTTATTTGCCTGTGAGGGGTGCATGTGACTTTGGGTGGGAGCCCAGAAGAACACTTCAGGTCCCTCTAAGCTGGGGTTGGAGGCATTTTGTGGGCTACATGTCTCATTATGTAGGTGCTGAGATTCAAACTCTGATCCTCTGCAAGAGCTGCAAGGACTCTGCCTCTGCCAAGCAGTCTCTTTACATTTCCTTCGTTACTTTTTGAAGAAAAACAATAACCAGGAATTAAGGAACCAGGGACAGAGAATTTGAGTCAAGGGCAGAGAGTTTGATGGGTTGATGTCTTAGTTAGGGTTTTACTGCTGTGAACAGACACCATGGCCAAGGCCAACTCTCATAAAGGATAGCATTTAATTGGGCCTGGCTTACAGGTTCAATCTATTATCATCAAGGAGGGAACATGGCAACATTCAGGCAGGCATGGTGCAGGAGGAGCTGAGAGTTCTACATCTTCATTTGAAGGCTGCTAGCAGAATCCAGGCTTCCAGCTAGGATGAGGGTCTTATAGCCCACACTCACAGTGACACACCTACTCCAACAGGGCCACACCTTCTAACACTGCCACTCCCTGAGCTGAGCATATACAAACCATCACAGTTGATGAAAAGTAACAGGGTAAACATGGGTCACTAGCTCTCTGAAAATGCCAGCTTATCCTGTGCTTCCACCCTGAAGTGTGTGTCTTCCAGTGAATGTGGACTTCATGTTGATTTTACAGGAAGGGTTCAACGTTAAGATCAGCACAAAGTGAAAACTGTTTCTTCTCTTCTTGTTCTCTCTTGCACACACACCCTGGGAGGCCCTCACCCACTGAGGGGAGAAGGGGAGGGAGGGAGGAGAATGGAGGAAGGATTGTGGTGGTGGTGGTGGTGGGGTGACTGGCAGGGGAGCAGTGAGCAGGATTTGAAGGGAATAAGTAAAATTAAAATTACATTAAAAATTCAATTAAAAGCCCAACAATGATTATTTATAAACAATTAACTAGGCAGGCTGTAATCAATTAGCTAGTATGTTGACAAGGCTGTAGTCAGTTCAGTTGCTTACTACGTATGCTGCGTTTCTGTTTGTTTGTTAGGAGATCACATTGTTGGGCTTGTCAGAACATTGTAGTAGTACCTTTATTTACTTTTGTGTGTTTACTACAATGTGTGTTAGTGCTGGCTCCCATGAGCCACCTCACACACATGGTCAGAGGACTGCTTTGCTTTGGGTAGTTGGTGATGACACTCCTTCCACATGATGTATTCTTACACTTATCTGTCACAGGCAGCCTTGAACCCTGAGTCCCCCACTCTTCTATCCAGGTGCTAACAGCCAATTATCTCCAAGGCTGTTCTCTATCAACCCTAACCCTTCCCCATAAAAGGGAACTCAAAAGCCAGTGAGAAACTGCTCTCTGAAATCCCAGCTTTAGGGGAAGGCAGTCTTGTGGCCAGTCCCTTGTACAGCTTGCTTTAACCAGTCATTCCCTCAGGTCTAACACCACCACAGGATCTGAGGGTGGAATGCTGGTCTTTGGGCTTTCAGGGCAAGTACTTTACCAGCTAGGCCATCTCTCATCTCTCCTGTCCCTACTTTTATGTCCTCCTCCTCCTCCTCCTCCTCCTCCTCCTCCTCCCTCCTCCTCCCTCCTCCTCCCCCTCCCTTTCCCCCTCCTCCTTCCTCTTCCCCCTCCCTCCTCCTGCAGATGGACTCCTTCAGATCCCTGGGTTCTCTTTCTCTTACTATGTCTTTCTCCTCCTTTTCCATTCCTGCTCCTTCAATACTGAGGAGTCCAAAGATGAGCAGGGTTTAAAGTTTCAAAAGGGCAATAAAATGGAAATGTAAAAAAATTTAAGGATAGTGAAGAAAGAAGACCTAGATTTTCTACTTTGGCAACCTTAAGAACAATTAAATGCTCTTCTCTTGAAATGTCACTTTCCTACTCTGGCAGACAATATTGAAAGCTGCTTATGTAGATGGTGAGAACTAAACTTTGGTCCTCTGTAGGATCAGTTCGCACTCTCAACTGTAGAGCTGGCTGCCTAGCCCCTGGAGACTGCCACCATCTGAGTGATTGTGTTTAAACAGCCAAGTACTAAAGAAGATTGTATTAGCATGGTCCTAGCATACTACTGAATTAAGTCTGTTCTTCCTGGATAGGGAATGCTATAAGAAATGGCTGCCTCTTGCTACAGAGCCATGTGCTATTCTTGGCTGTGGAATAAATAATGCAGAACCTGACACACTAAAAGGCTATGTTGACTTCCGGGGGGATCCCTTTGTGTGGGGGGCTGGGAAACAAGTTGCCTTTGCGGCTATAAACACGGAAGAATAAGAGGATGAGTGGGAGGAAACTAGTTGGATGCCAGGACTAGCTTCACATCCAGAGTTCCTCAGATCCTCTGCAGTTCACTGTGTAGGGAGTCTTGAGGGAACCTTGCTAAAGGAGCAGATACTTATACTTCACTAGACATAAAACTCACCAAGGGGAGGCAGTACTGCCGTGAAGTCACTGCCAATGGAAAAAGGAATGTAACAAATGATTTATGTAGGAAAATCTCAGACTCTCAGAGAGACCTCCTGAAAAGAATCACACTGTTATTTGGAGTTGTACAGGGCAAACCTGAATTCAGAGAACTCATAGTTACTGTCGAGGGAGCATTGGAATGGATGGAGAGCATGATGCTTATGACTACACGTATGTGTCTATGTGTGGAAATATTTATGTGTGTGTGCAGGTGACCCTGGAGTCCAGGAGAGGTTGCTGGATCTCTGGGAACTGGAGTTGCAAGCAGCTGTGAGACACCTGATAAGGGTGCTGGAACCCAACTCAGGTGTTCTGTAAGCAGGTGCTCTTACAAGCTGAGTCGTCTCTTAAGCTTTGCAGGCAATTTTCTTAGACAGTGGTGAGGGGTTAATGATAAACTATGGATAAGAAGCCTGAGTTTTGAGGTATAAGAAAGCATCTCCATGATGCTGACCCCACAGGTAGGATCCCACCTCAAAAAAAAGGCAGGTGCTTTGTGTCTAGGCTGGCAGGTGTCTTCCAGCTCTCATGTGATCAACTAAGGGGATGATGACTCCTCAACCACAAAGTACAGCCACTTCAGGACACATTCTGCTTTCTCATGTGTGCACAGGTCCGTGGTCAGGACCAGATTTAAATCTGTTTAGTGCAGAAAACACACTAGGTTGGTGTGTCACTCTCCACCAGCCTTCAGCATCGCTTGTTATGTTAATAAAAAAACAATTCCAGTTTGTTTTTGTTTTTGAGACAGGATCTTACTTTGTAGCTCTGACTATACTAGTGCTCTCTCCATAGACCAGGCTGGCCTTGAACTCACGGAGATCCACCTGCCTCTGCCTCCTGAGTACTGGGATTAAAGGAGTTCACCACTATGCCCAACTTGCTTTGGACTTTAAAAAATGACTAATACATTACATGTAAACTAGATGTGTGTGTCTGTGTGTGTGCGTGTGTCTAAGACTGAGTAACCCAACAATCTGGAATTGTGTTTCTCAGTCTGAATACCTGAACTCCTGCTTCTGCTGAACCTTTTGCTTCCATGTGTGCACCTCATACAGAACTTGCCTGAGCCCGCTGCTGACCCTGCCTGGTCTTCAATCTGAGGTTCCTTCTGGCTCCTTCCTATACTCTGTTCTCTCAGGCAGCATGGAACAGAGCAGTGGTTCTCACCCTGAGGGGAAGTGGCCTAGAGGGATTGCTCCCAGAGAACAGTTGACAAAGTACAGAGATAGTTTTGGTTGTTGTAGCTGAGGGTTATGGAGACTACAGTATAATACTGGAGGTTGCTTAGTAACTATCCTCCAATGAGTGGATAGAGTCCAAGAACAAAGATTACAGACCCAGAAAGTCAGTAGTACAGGGGTGCTGTGGAAAAGAGCAAGCCATGGCCCTCCTATGGCAAGTACCAGTAAGGCATGCATGTAGAATCTTATGCCAGGTCACAGGTGCATAGCACAGTATTAATGGAACCCAAAATGCTTATCTTTAACATACACTACAGGCTGTACCTGAAAGTGCTACTTAGAACCAACAGTGGGAATTTTCCACCTCACTAATAAACGGTAACATGGAGTTTGCTAAGGATGTGCATGGGAAAACTCCAAGATTTTGGCATCAAATGAAGTGCATTTGAATGTTGGGTTTTCTTCATGTCTGTATAGATACCACTGTCTTGTATAATAATTGGATGAGGATTAAAACGAGAATCTGCCCTTTATTCACTCGGCACTAAAAACATGCTGCTGAAGCAGAGACGTCTGCCTACTAGGCAGGGTCAAGGCAGGTCAAGGTCAGCTTAGAGCTGTTGCAGCTGTATTTCAAAAGATGGATACCTGTCCCTTTAATCTGTATACTGATAAGCAGTACATTGCCAGGGCTTTACAAGTTTCAGAAATGGTGCTTACATTGATACAGCTAACAACCAAGTTGAAGATATTTTTTCTCCAATACAACAATGTCTCCAAGCACTCACTCACCCAATTGTGCTACATAGGACATATTCAAGCTCATTCAGGACACCCAAGGCCTCTTGCAGAAGGCAATGCTTTGGCAGATAAAGCTGCTCTAATGATAGGTCTTTCACAAGTGGAGCTCCTGCAAAAATTACATGCGTCAAATCATCAAAGTCATCAAAGCCTAAGAAAGCAATTTCATATATCTAGGGAAGTTGACTGACAAATTGTTCACCAATGTGTCTCCTGTCCTGAACATTATTCAGTAGCTCATTGTGGTATTGATCTTAGAGGTCTAGTTCTCAATCAGTTGCGGCAAATGAATGTTGCATACATACCTGAATTTGGAAGGTTAAGGTATGTGGTAGTTTGAATATTTTTGGCCCAGGGAATGGTACTATTTGGAGGTGTGGCCTCATTGGAGGAAGTGTGTCACTGTTGGTTTGGGCTTTAAGACCTTCCTGTTCCTAGCTGCCTGGAAGCCAGTCTTCTCCAAGCTCCCTTAGGAACAAGAGATAGAACTCTCTGCTCCTACATCATCCATACCTGGATGCTGTCATGCTCCTGCCTTGTTGGTAATAGACTGAACCTCTGAACCTGTAAGCCAGCCCCAACTAAATGTTGTCCTTATAAGAGTTACCTTAGTCATGGTGTCTGTTCACAGCAGTAAAACCCTAACTAAGACACTGAGCAAGCCAGGGGAAGCAGTCTCATAAGCAGCACACCTCCATGACCTCTGCATCAGCTCTTGCTTTAATGTTCCTGCCCTGTTTTGAGTTCCTGTCCTCACTTCCTTTGATGATGAACAGCCATGTGGAAGTGTAAGCTAAATAAACCCTGCCTCCCCTTGCTCCTTGGTCATGATGCTCTGTACAGCAATTGAAACCCTGACTAAGACAAGGTATGTACATGTTTCCATAGATACTTTTTCAGGTTTCATTATGGCCACTGCCCAAACAGGAGAAGCCACTAAGCATGTTCTTACTGATTGCTTACAGAACTTTGCCATGATAGGACAACCTAGCATGATTAAATCCAATGATGGCTCTGGGTATATAAGTCATGCTTTCCAGCACTTCTGCCCCCAACTGTCCATTGCTAATAAAATGTGTATTCCGTACAATCCACAAATTCAAGGAATTGTGCTATGAGACCATGGAGCTCTAAAAATAAAAAGGGGGAGTTGTGTATTTCTTCACCACAAAATAGTTTAGGTCAAGCAGTTTTGTTTTTTAAATTTTTTGACGTTGGATGCCAAGGGACTCTGCTGCTGAGAGTTTATGGCACTATACTCATACTTATGCCCCAGTGAAATGGAAGGACCTGCTAACTGGTACATGGCATGGTCCCAATCTAGTATTAATATGGGGATGAGGCTAGTTTTGTGTTCTTCCACAGGATGCCGAAAGTGCCAGTAGCTTTTAAAGCATTTGGTTCGCCATGTAGAAAAAGCACTTGACCAAACTCATGATGCTGATGCTGATGAGCCATTTCCTGATGTCAACTCAAGGAGAGCTATATTGGACATATGTTCCTGACCCCTGATCTTACATAATTTCCATCTGGGAAGGTCTGGAGATTGTGGTGAGAGTCAACAATACATGTGTGCTAGGATTGCCATCTCTTGGGTGAAGAGCCAAAGAAGAAGAAAGATTTGATTATACTGGTCATGGCATAGGGTTGCCAGTTTGCTTTGTTAAGAATGGAACTTCACCAGGATGTCTCAAGATAGTCAAATGTACCCTGTCAGGGGTTGAAAAAAATGGTGTGCATATGGGCTGCCAAATTGAGACACATTCTCTAGTGTGACACAACTCCCCCACGACCACCACCACCACCACCACCTCAGTCATCTTTGCCATGTGGAAAGGAAACCTGAGATAACAATAAGACCCTTCAGTGGCGATCATGCTATACTAACAAGCTGTACTGGGAGAATGTGTCCGGCTTAGGCAGATATATTGTTGACTGTCTGGAATCAGGATGGAACACAAGGAGACACCAATGAGTGGGAAAGAGGTCTGTCAGCAGGATTATTGACCAGACACTGGATTTCAGCAAACTCAGGTCTGGAAGCTTACTATGGCCCTGGGAGAGGTTAAGCCAACTAACACAGCTACTGGACAGAGATGGAGCACTAGGTTCAGATTACTTGCCTGAGTTTTTCCACCATAGGCACTGTTGGTAGAGAAAATTAACATCACAATGAATGGTTCAGAATCAGTGAAACTTGCTATGACTGTGATTTGACTAATTGTATCTGACATTGTTCAAGGAACTTCTGTTATGATACTTCATCAACCTTCACTTACTATATATGCTTCCAGTCAATGTTTCAGGACCTTGATATGCAAATAGAGGCTTACAAGTGTTTGAAGAGATTCAAAAAGGCCTAAGAGAATGATAAGATTGATCATTGCTGGGATTTTTGCTATAATATCTATTATAGCCTCCACTACTGCAGCAGCCCTAGCCTTGTCTCAATCTGTTCAAACTGCTCATCTTGTTAATGATTTTTCTGAATGTTACCTTAGCCTTAGGAACATAAGAAGATATAGATAGAAAGCTAGAACAAAAGTTTCAATGCATTATATAAAGTAGTACAGTATTTAGGAGATGAAGTTCAAGGGCTGGAGGTGAGATCACACTTACAATTGCCATGTAGAATATCAGTGGATTTGTATTAACTCAAAAATGTGTAATGAAAGTCAACAAGGTAGGGACTGGGTACATTTGCATCTTAAAGGTTTCTGGCATGATGCTAAAGTTTCCTTGGATTTAATTCAATTGCATTGGGAAAATTTGTATCTAAAGGTTGCTAAGCCCTTGCAATTAAATAGTGCAAAGGCTACCTCTGAATGGTTAGAGCAATTAAGAAAGGGCATGCCTTCCTGGTCTTCATTTATTCATTTGGCCTTTTCAGTATTTGCCTTGAATGCCCTAATGGTTTTAGAATTCTACCTGTTATCACTTGTGGTTAAGTGTGCCCTCCATTCGTTTTTGAACTTCTGTACAGATCTCCATCATCATATGTGGCTCAAGATTGTAACCTAATGGATTACATCCCCCATTGCAGAGACTTGTAGTCAAAGATGAGTAAGATTCTGTCACAGGTGGATCAACCTAAGACAGGGCACAAATGTTAGGATTCATGTACTGATGATGAGTAAGATCTACACATCTTGGAGGTACACCTAAGACAGGCACACTCCTGTGCCAATAGTTGAGGCAGCTTTGGCTTGTATAGAATAAAAAGGGGGAGATGTCAGGAGCCTTTTGCCTGCTACTGAAGCAGTGTAGAGGTCTGCATCCTAGGCAAGGTCAAGGCAAGTCAGAGTCTACTGGCCTAGCATGATGTTTTCCAGGTAGCCAAATTTCTTGGCAGGTTGATGCATGGAACATTAGGAGGAAGTACACTTGAGGCTCAAAACAAGAAGCTGAACATTCTATTGACCTTGCAAGAAGGAACAAGGAGGGCTCCAGATAAGAATGGTGGATATCCTGTGTAAATGTTACCAGTTGTTTCTGCTAGCTTGTGGTTTTGCTTGCCACATTACTGTGGGGTGCCAAAGGTTGTCCTCATTAAACTTGGGGCTGCAGCATTTACTGACAGTCCTCCCAAAACTATCTCTTGTCTCTGTGTCTTCTTTAACCCTCACCCCCTCCCCTCTGCACCCTTCCCCTCTCAAGGTTTACCTCAGGTCATCTGCCACTGTAGGATCTAGGCTGCTCAGTTTATGTCCTCAAAGAGAGGGCCATTAGGATTGTGGGAGTGGTTCGGTACAATTTCGGGATGGAGATCTTTGGATGGAAAGAATCAGGGTCAAGAAGATATGACTGCGATTTTTACCAGTCTTGACAAGGACAGATATAGATAGTATTGTATTATTAACCGTAATCTATAATCCTAAAGTACATTTAGCTTCTATTCATTCATTTATTCGTTCATTCATTCATTTATACTTAGTGAATCTAAGGAGCTACGTCTATGGCGGGGAAGCCTTTATTTCATTATGATGAGGCCCGGGGTAGAATGGAGTCTGTGCGGTGGCTCTTGGCTGCAGCTGGAGTAGAGGTAAGTTTTGAGATGATTCATCTTCAGATGAATGTAAAACTAACCATGTCAAATGCTTTCCTCACATCAACCAGTAGGTGTTTCCTATTGAGTGTTTTCTAAACAATTGTACCCTATTCTGGCTTCTAAAGGCATCTTACTGTGGTAGTTTGAATATGCTTGGCATAGGAAGTGGCAGTATTAGGGGGTGTGGCCTTGTTGGATGGATGTGGTCTTGTTGGAGTAGGTGTGGCCTCGGACAAAGTGTGTCACTGTGGGGGTGGGCAATGAGACCCTCCTCCTAATTACATGGGAGCCAGTCTTCTATTTGCCTTTGGAACAAGATGTAGAACTCTCAGCTCCTCCCATACCATGCTTGCCTGGATGCTGCCATGCTCCCACCTTGATGATAATGGACTGAACCTCTGAACCTGTTAACCAGCCCCAATTAAATGTTGTCCTTTATGAGAGTTGCCTTGGACATGGTATCTGTTCACAGCAGTAAAACCCTAACTAAGACACTTATGTTCCCAGGAATTTAGGCAGGAGGATTACAAATCTGAGGTAGGCTGTCATATAGAGTGTAACCCTTGTACCTTCATACATTAAAATGATAAGTTTTAAAGATACAAATGAATAGATATGTCATAGTAAATAGTTGAAAATATCTTCATACAGCATAGACAATAACTCAACTTTGAGACCTTAGTCACAGTATGTGCCCCACATTTGGATGGAGATTTAAAATATGAAAGATAAATACCTCCAACTATATAGAAGTTCACTGAGCTGTATAGTCTTTATGTCTGACTAATTTCAGTGTATGGTTTTCTTTATATGTTTTCTATAATAAAGTTTAAAATAAAAATTAAAAGAAAAAAGAAATAATTCACGGCATTTATATAAGAAGTAGAAATCTAAGTACTGAATTGGCCGGGCGGTGGTGGCACACGCCTTTAATCCCAGCACTTGGGAGGCAGAGGCAGGCGGATTTCTGAGTTCGAGGCCAGCCTGGTCTACAAAGTGAGTTCCAGGACAGCCAGGACTACACAGAGAAACCCTGTCTCAAAAAACAAAAAACAAACAAACAAAAAAAATACTGAATATTTGATAGCACTAACAAATTTGTATTGTCTTAAATGTGATAAACTATTTGTGGAAAGTTTCTCCTCTAAAAATGTCCTTATGGTGTGGAGAACACATTGAAGTATTTAGAGACAAAATACATGACATTTTATATAGACAGACTCAGGAGATTTTGCCTTTGGATAGAAGCTGGAGAAAAAATGGTTAAGGGGTAAGGCCGTGTCCTGTGAGGAATACTGGCAGGGCTCTCTCAGCTTCATGCTCAGCCCTGAGGATTGCACTTCACCCTTGCTCCTGCCACGAATGGAATTTGAGCTTGACCCTTTTCAGTGTCAAAGAAAGCAGCACACAGATACAAATAAGTATGTTTCCACTTTGTGTTATTCCTATGATGAATCTGTTTTCCCATCTTGCAGATGTCCACCTTATGATTCATCCTCTAGAGGAATGAGTTCTAAGCAGAAATGTGGGGTATAAGCAATGTACTCAATATCAAGGCTTCCTCTTGACCACCTTTGACTCAAGAGGGAACTGAACCCTCAGACCCTTGCTCAGATCTCCTTGGTCTTTTGTACCGCCAAGCTGATCATGACAGGCCCAGACATCCCATCATCCCCACCAAAGCCAAACTCACCAACCCCATTCAGCCTCGGTGACCCTCTTCCAAAAACTGCTCATCCCCTATGTGTTTTCTGAATGAATGCTTAGCTAATTGGTGCATTCAACACCTCGCTGTCTCCACGGTCTAATGCAGTGTGACAGTGTATATCTACAACCAAGCAAGCCATCAAGCATGCCAGAAACGAAAACATTCCTATAACTACTTAGAACTCTAATAACTCACCACAGCCTTTGCGACCAGAATTATTACTTATTGTCCAATTTTATGTGGGCCAATACCTGTACTCTATAGTTTGAAAACTCCATGTTTTATTTGAGGAAGCTCACCTGGGTACACTCGTGTGTGCTTATGGACGCAGTTACTCAGTCAATTGCACTTGAAGGAGGATTGTTTGAGCCTAGCTTGTGCAGCACAGTGAGACCTGTCTCATATTAAAAAACAAATCAACAGATGAATGGAAAACATTCTCCATGTTACAAATGAAGAGACAGATGCTGTGAGATCTTAAATGATTATGCTTAAATTACACACACACACACACACGAGCTGTAGATCATATATGAGCATCAAAATACAGAAACACTCAGAATTGTTTCTAATGACTTTATTTTTTGTAGATTCTATCAATTCTTTTTTTTTTAATTTTTATTTATTTATTATATGTAAGTACACTGTAGCTGTCTTCAGACACCCCACAAGAGGGCATCAGATATCATTACAGATGGTTGTTAGCCACCATGTGGTTGCTGGGATTTGAACTCATGACCTCTGGAAGAGCAGTCAGTGCTCTTAACCACTGAGCCATCTCTCCAGCCCGATTCTATCAATTCTAATATGATTGCATATTTGGTAAATGATATAAAAAACTAATTTGAGTTTCTTATTAAATTTTATTTTCTCTGCATGGATGTTCTCCTTGCATGTATGTCCTGAACCACAAGCATGCCTACTGCCCAGGAAAGCCAGAACAGGGCATCAGATCCCCTGGAACTAGTGTTAAAGACAGTTGTGAACCATCATGTGGGTGCTATAAATTGGATCAGGATCATCTGGAAGAGCAGCCAATCCTCTCTCTAGCTCATGAATAGAGGTTTGTTTTTTTTTTTGTTTGTTTTTTTTTTTTTATACTAGTGTTGCTGTGCATCCCAGGCTAGCCATGAATTAGTCATCCTCCTTCCTCAATTCCAGAATGCTGCCACTGGATAGGCAAGTGCCACCATGTCTGGCTAAACTGATTGTTTCCTTTGGAGCAAATACTGGCAACTGCTTGGAGCATCAGATCAGTTTCTGACAGCCCTGTCTTGGGCTGCTTATCTTACCAAAGTGATTTCCCTCAGGATAAGCTTTAATCTCTAGAGGGAGATAAAGAACAGAGTAGTCCGTCACCAGCATTCAACTGCTTTAAAGAAAAAGGAAATGAAAAGAGAGTGTGATGAAATAGCAAGGAATCCATTAGAATTCTGACATATCATCTGTCTGGAAGAATTCACGCGGGCACACACACACACACACACACACACCACTCTGAACATTTCTAAGCGGTTTGTAGTAGATTATTTCTTGTAACAAAGCAAAACATAGGTTGATATAACTGTACATATTCCAATATTGAGACTGAGTGTTAACAAGGATTTCAAGGTCAGATAAATACACACAAAAAAATTAAAGCGTTAGAATGAACTTTCGAAATCATCAGAACCCTAACATTTTGCTTAATATTTTTATAATTTTATTTTGTGTATATGTTTTCATGTGTATGTATACAAATGCTGTAGATGTACAGGTAGGGGCCAGAGGATAACTCACAGGAGTTTGCTGTATTCTGCTACCTTATGAGCTACAAGGATCAAACTTACTTTGTCCGAAATGCTAGCAAATGCCTTTACCAGCTAAGCCACCTGGTCGACCATGGTTAAATTTTTTTGTGGAAATATGCAACCCACCGCACAAAATCATAAAGTCATCCTTTTTGTTATTTACTTTACTGTGAGAACTATGAATCTTTCTTTAAACTGAGAAATCTACCTCAAAGTTCCATTATTTTTCAGGAGAGGAGATTCCAGCTAAGAAGAGTTGATACTGTGCTATATGACATCCAGGACTCAGGTCATCTGCAGCAATAATGTAAATTATAAACTAAGCAGAAGCCACATAGTAAAAGTATGAGACTGTCCTGGTTTGCTTTCTGTTTTTATGATAAAACTGAATAGGGCCTGGAGAGATGATCCAGTTGTTAAGACCTTCTCTTCCAGAAGACCCATGTCTGATTTATAACATCCACTTGGTGGTTTACACCTATTTGTATCTTCAATTTCAGAGAATCTAATGCCCCCTTCTGGCCTCTGAAAGCACCAGGCATACAAGAGTACATAGGCATACATTCTGGTAAAACACCCATACACATAATATATCCATATGAACTATGTATACATATAAGTATGAACCTTTCTTTCAACTGAGATGTCTACCATGAATTTCCATATATCCCAGAAAAGGAAATTCTAGCTAACAGTTGAACTATGCTATATGACACCAGGACTCATGTCATCTACATCATTTGAAGCATATATATAAGCATATATATAAGCATATATATATATATATTTTTTTATATATATTTTATTTTATATATTATATATTATATATTATATATTATATATTGCTGCCCAAAACTAGTTTTGGAAGTAAAGGTTTTATTTAGCTTACATTAAAGCTAATCATTGAAGGAAGCTGAGGTAGGAACTCAGACAGAGACAGAAACCATGGAGCAATGCTGCTTACTGGCTTGCTTTTCTGGCTTTCTTGGCTCTCTTCCTTTTATAGTTTAGGCCCAGTTGCCTAAGGATAGCACCACCCATGGTGGGCTGGGCCCTCCTACATCAATTAACAATGAAGAAGGTGCCTCACAAACATGTCCATGGGCCTGATTGAAGAGATTCCCTAGTTGAGATAACTATGGGCTCTGTCAAGTTGACAACTAAAGCTAGCTAGAACAGACTTTTGGTCCATGTAATATCTTGTACTGCAGACCCAACAATCTCTCTTGGAGGTGCAGACTCTTCTGAGATCTTAGAGCTTCTCAATCAGAAGAGCATTGCAGGATTTCCTTTTTTGTGAAATCCCTCCCTAATTGTGTAGTTGCCATAGTTCTTGATGGGGAAGAGAGTAGGAATGAGATTACCTTCAGGATAAGCTGCATGCTCTGAGTTGTGTTCTCTTCTTGACAGGTCAGATATAAATTTCCAAAAAGCTGTAAGCATGTTGTTGCATATATTACCAAACTTCAAAGTATTACCTCATTCACACCACATATCAAAGAGAATGGACTCAAATTCAGAAGCCTACGTTACTGAAGAAAAAATAATAACTCCTTTGCTGTTTCTTCTTTCTAGTATGAAGAGAAGTTTATACACACTAATGAAGACTTGGAGAAGTTAAGAAGTGGTAAGCCCAATTATCTGAGGACCCCTGATAGGGGTGTCTTCCAGAAGAGTTAAGCTCTGGATCGTGTGTGTGTGTGTGTGTGTGTGTGTGTGTGTGTGTGTGTGTGTGTGTGTGTAGTGTGGTTCGTGAGGATACCAGAGAGGCATAGAGTAGTTAAAATATACAGGAGAAGGGTTCTTTGAGCAAACTTGAGACTCACTTAAGGTCAAAAGAGCCAGGCTGCTGAGTATTTGCTAATAAAGCATCCCCAGTGTCTTTCCTAGTTTTCCTGTACTTTCTACTGTTTTCTTGAGCTATAAACAGTTCAGGATCCCCCGCCACTCACCCACTGCATGAAGTGAAAGAAGAGAAACAAACCCAGCACTCCTGTTAAGTTCTTCAGTCTGGTGGCTTGGCCAAGTGATTCCTGGCAGCACTCAAGGATTTATTGTGCAGTGGTCCTAAAGTATTGAAAGTTCATACTAGATTGTGGAGAAGTAAAGAAAGAGGAATGGATACCAGCTACAAGGCCAGGGACTCAAGCCTTCCTTGGACCCAGTGTCTGGTACTCTACTTAGAAGAGGACACAACGCTAGATAGAAATTCTTCTCTAGACCAACTCTGATATCAGCTGGTCACCTTATTCTGTTCGCTCCCTATTTCCTAAATATGGCCATGAACAGAAGACAATATGAAGAAATTCCCTTATATGTATCTGGATGGGAAATAAAGACAGAAATGAATTAGCAAGCTAATGAATGAGGACTAGAGAGTGGGGAGAACTATATGAAGCTAAAGAAAGAAAGAAAGAAAGAAAGAAAGAAAGAAAGAAAGAAAGAAAGAAAGAAAGAGTATTTAATTACAAATGTTAAGTTACCAGGCAGTAATCTTATTTTTTTCTTGGACTTTTAGTCATCTGAGCACTTTTCATCCTATATATATGACCTATATATTTTTTTTTCTTTTCCCAAAAGATGGAGTTCTGATGTTCCAGCAAGTGCCCATGGTGGAGGTTGACGGGATGAAGCTGGTGCAGACCAGAGCCATTATGAACTATTTTTCCAGCAAACATAACCTCTACGGGAAGGACATGAAGGAGAGAGCCTTGTACAGTATATCTCTTTCTCTATATCAGTGGTTATCATGGGAAGGATTTAAGCCCTTCAATGAATGATCAGACCTATGGGAGGGGTCATGACCACCAGGCCTGCTTTGGTATTTATACTGGATCTAAGTATGGCAGAGTCCTGTGGAGATGAGCAATGAGTGACTTTGGGGGAATCCTGGTGACTGTAATGATAGACAAGGATATTGATGTTCTCAGACACAACACAGGGACAGAGGCTTGATAACTCTATCAGCTTTGAATTGGGGAGAGAAGTGGAGCCATTATTCTGGCTATGCAGGCTTTCAGTGACTGGATGCTCATAACATGGACTGTCTAGAAATGGCAGTTCGTCGCCAACTTATAATTTCCAGAAATGACTGTGTTCAGGGCCAGGAAATTAAGCTACTGGTTTATTTGTAGATTAGTCCAATGCTCACAGGTTAATAGAACCTAGGTGCCTAAGATTCTAGAGTCACCTGGCTTATGTCATGTAGATCCAAAGCAGCCAGACTGAGTCAGGGCCACCAGAGTTGGCAGGTTGCCACCCAGTTGTGGTAGAACTACTTCATTGAAACTTAGAAAACTCTGGGAGGGAAGATAACTCATTCAGTAAAATACTTTCTTTCCAAGCATACAGATTAGAGTTGTGATATCCAGCACCCACATAAAAGCTGGATGCAGCAGGAACCCCAATTCTGAGAGGCAGAGATTCTAGGTGCTTGCAGCCAGTCTAGCAGAGACATTTGAGCTCCAGGTTTATTAGAGAGTCTGTCTCCTTAAGATGGAAGGGAATATTGGAATATACCTGGCATTGACCTCTGGCATCTACACGCACATATATGGACATGTGTACCCACTATACACCTGTATACACACTTCTAACACTCCAAAAATTAAAGTAAGATCTAGTATGACATATTAGCAATTCCCCAAACAATCAAATCCAGGATTATCAATGACCCATCAGTTCTACAACCTGGTGTATATATCCAAGAGAAACAAAAAATATGCCCTCTTCTGTTCTTGTACAGAAATGCTCACAGCAGCTCTTTTTTTGTTTTTTGTTTTTTGTTTTTCGAGACAGGATTTCTCTCTGTCACCCTGGCTGTCCTGGAACTCACTCTGTAGACCAGGCTGGCCTCGAACTCAGAAATCTGCCTGCCTCTGCCTCCCAAGTGCTGGGATTAAAGGCATGTGCCACCACCACCCAGCTCATAGCAGCCCTTATAATCAAACTTCTGGAGAAATGAGAAAAATGTCTAATTAGAAGTATCTTGTATATTCTTTACATAATAAGCCAAAATAAAATTTTAAAAGCATCTGTATCACTGGAAATATTTAGGCAGCATATCTGAGCACTGAAGTGCCCACTAAACATTTAGAAACCAAAGCCATCTATCCAACCAACATTTAAGAAAGTCTTTGTTTATGGAAGCCACTCTTACATAAAAGTCGGAGAAGTACATCAAATGTACCAATACCCACATGGGGACACTGGAAGCATGAAGAAACAAGATAAAAAAAAAAAATGCCACCAGAGAAACTCAACAACTCTAACCAGACCCCAATAAAAGGGAACCAACAGACTAAGAATTTCAAAGAATAATTTTAATGAAACTTATCAAAAAGAAAATGCAATCCACCAGGCATGGTGGCACAAGCCTTTAATCCCAGCTCTTGGGAGACAGAGGCAGGCAGATCACTGAGTTTGAGGCCAGTCTGGTCTACAAAGCAAGTTCCAGGATAGCCAAGTCTACAAAGAGAAACCCTGTCTGAAAACAACAACATCAAAAAACAAAACAAAAGAAAAGAAAGAAAGAAAGGAAAAAAAAGAAAATGCAAGCCTCAAATTTAGAAAGAATTCATGATTTAGATGAGAAATTTAGAAAGAAAAAGAGACGTGTAAACACAACTGGTTGGAAATCTTGGCACTAAGGAATTGTGGTAATTGAAAACTATAGTTGATAGCCCTGACAGAATTATACAGGCATAGGAAAGGACCTCAGTGCTTCACAACAGGGAGTTTAGAATTTTATTTATTTTTATGTGTATGGGTGTTTTCCCTGCATGTATGTCTGTGTATCAGATGCATGCATTGCCCAAGAGGCTAAAAAAGATGTCAGATCCCTTGAGACTGAACTTATAGATAGTTGTGAGCTGCCAGGTGGTTACTGGGAATTGAACCCAGGTCCTCTGGAAGAACAACTAGTGCTGTTAACTGATGAACTGTCTCTCCAGTCCCTAGTCAGATTTTTTTTTAAGAAAGCAAAAGATTACACACTAAACACAACACATAGGGGACACAATTAAGTGAGTGAACCTTCACGTTATTAGTGTTCTGGGATGAGTCAGGAAGGAGTATAGAAGCCTGTAAGTGCAGTAATTATTGGTGCCTTTCTACATCTTAACAAAGATGAAACAAAAATTCTCATTTTATGAACCTCAAAAGATCTGGATAAATTCAATTAAAATATACCCTCTCTGAGGCATATGACAGTATTTCATCATATGGCAATATTACATCATATGACTGACAGTATATCATATGACAGTATTATATCCTATGACTGGTATTATGTCACATGACCATATTACATCACATGAGAGTATATCATATGACAGTATTATATCATATGACTAACAATATTACATCATATGACAGTACTACATCATATGGCTGACAGTGTTACATCATATGTCTGACAGTATTATAGCATATTACAGTATTCCATCATATGTCCGGTATTACGTCATATGACTAGTATTACATCATATGATGGTATTGCATCATATGACAGTAGTGCACATGGTAGAATGTGTCAGAAGTGAAAGCATAGAAACAAGCAAAGCCTTGTCAAGTCACCTGCAGTCTAAGTCTCTAAACTAACTGAAACACAGCTAAGGGAGTTTATCAACAGAGGGTCAGTCCCACTGTCCATGCTTAAGGAGGTCTTAAACTAGAAGCCAAAGGATGGTATTAATATCTTCCATCTGGAAAGCAGAGGTGAGTATACAGGGCACAAGTGGACCAGAGCCACAAAGGAAGACAAGGAAATCAGTGACAGCCTCCTTAGAAAACCATCAAAACACAGGCAAGCAAGTGGAAGGAGATAAAGAACATACAGCACAACTGGAAAAAGATGAGCAGAGCTATGGCAGTGTGTCTGTTTCTCAGCCACAACCTTGAATGTCAATGGATTACATTTCCCAGTTAAAAGATAGACTGTAGCCGGGCGGTGGTGGCGCACGCCTTTAATCCCAGCACTTGGGAGGCAGAGACAGGCGGATTTCTGAGTTCGAGAGTTCCAGGCTAGCCTGGTCTACAGAATGAGTTCCAGGACAGCCAGGGCTACACAGAGAAACCCTGTCTCAAAAAACAAACAAACAAACAAACAAACAAAAAAAGATAGACTGTATGAATCAATATCCTCCAAAGAACAAAACTGGCAGTATTACAGTACCTAACCTCAAAATGTACCACACAGCAATGGCACCAAACTAGTGTAGGGCTGGTACAAAACCAAACATGCAGTGCAATGGAATGGAATTGAGAGCCCACAAGCAAATGCATGCATATCTATCTATCTATCAACTGCTTTCCAACAGACACACAAGAGCCTACACTGGAGTGATGGGATATCCCCATATGTAAAAATAAAACTAGTCCTATAATATGTTACACTGGACCTATGTTATTCTTTACAGAAAACAAAATGAATAAAATGAATAAAATACATATGCAAATCTTGAAACTCTAAAATCACTGAGAGAATTTGTGACTTTTTTTTTTTTAAAAATGTGTTTATGCTGTGCAGCAGGACAGAGAAGCATCTAAGTTGTGCCAGGAATTTGTGAGCGTTCAACAATTTTGACTCCTGATACCCACATCTTGTTTGTTCATAGCACAAGCCAAAGTAGAAGAGGTAATCCTATTAGCAGTATCAGTGGAACACACGTTAATTCCACTAAGTTCTGTCCTGACAATGACTCTGGAGAGGTCACCAAAACACTCCTCTCTGTATTTGGCCACATGGACAACAAAAGTGTTAGACACATGCATTCCTTGTAGATTTCTCAAAACAATATTATGTAAATATAGAAATAGCATAATGTCTAACACATACAAGGTCCTCACTGGAGGAAGGAGCAGGAAGAGGTAGGGGTGCTATCTATTGATATTCTTGAAGGTTTTCATACTAAGAACTGTCAGGCAGGCTACATTGACAGTTGTGTTGTTACTGTCTTTCAGGATCGATATGTATTCAGAAGGGTTGGCAGATTTGAATGAGATGTTTATTCTCTACCCATTTGACCCACCTGGGGTGAAAGAGGCAAATATTGCTCTGATGAAAGAGAAAGCAACAAACCGTTATTTCCCTGCCTTTGAAAAGGTTTGTGGAAGCTGGACTTTAACCTGTAATCTCAGGACTCAGGAGGCTGAGACAGGAAGACTTAGCCTGGGCTACTGAATAACGTGCTTTAATGGGTGTGGCATATCAGGGCCCTATTGAAAAAGAGTTTAAAGCAGTGGTTCTCAACCTTCCTAATCCTGTGACCCTTTAATACAGTTCTTCATATTGTGGTGACCAACCATAAAATTATGTTGTTGCTACTTGATAACTATAATTTTGCCACTGCTATGATTCATAATTGTGAATATCTGATATGCAGACTCCCAAAGGGGTTGTGAATGACAGGTTGAGAACCATTGGTTTAGAGCATGTCTTAGTACTAGAGTGTGGCTTAGCTATTTGCTAAATGCCACAGACTATGAGAGTTGTGCAACAGGTGTTAATTTTTAACAATTCTAGAGACTGGAAAGGAGATCAAAGTGATGGCAGATGTAGTTACTGATGAAGGCCTGATTCCTTTTCATGGGTTACCAACTTTTATCAGTGTACAATGGGTTATAGAACTCGCCAGATCCTCTCATAAGGGCAGTGGCGCCATTCTTCAGAGTCTCCTATTAATTTACTAATCCCCTCCAAGCCCCAATCTACTAATCAGACAATGCTGAGAGTCAAAATCTCAATAGAAAGAAGCAGGGGCCCCTGGCTCTGTGTAAAAGTAACTTTTATTCATCAGATGTAATTGTTATCTCAGAGGGTTACTGCTGAATAAGCTCCCCCTTTCTATTCTTTCTGAACTCTGGCTGGCTGGTTCAACTCAGCTGTTCTGGCTCAAACCTCCCCACCAAGCTGACTGATTCAAACTGGATTCTCTGGGCTTCTAACGGAATTGAATTGCTCTGCTTTGGGGTGGTCCGTGGCACTACTTGTCCTCTGGAAATCTTTTCTAATCTTTTGGCTTCTTCTCACCCTCTGGTTTGCTCTGTTTTCACCTACATCCTGTCTCTGTAAAACTGTCCTAGTAAAATTGCCTTCTCTTTCCTCTCTCTTCACTGCTCTCTTAAGTTGCCTCTTTTTCCTGTCTGTTCTAGTGAAAGTTGGGTGTGTCCTATCTCTGACTAATTCTGTCAAATCTTTCTCTGATTCATCACTTTGTCTGGCCTTCAATTAGTTGTCACTTAGAAATATTGCTCCTTTTTTATTTTTTCAAACTAACCTTACCTACATTGTTTGGGATTAAAGGTGTGTGTTAAGAGCATGTCTGTATTATAGTCAGATCATACTTTAGTCCAGGGCATGTTTGTATCTGGCCAGATGATATGGTTTTAGAAAGTCTTTGGATATGATCCTTTGCCAGAGCATTTTAATGTTTCTGCATTAAAGTTCCTCTACAGCTTTGTGTGTTTAGGATATGTTCCCTTGAATTCCCCAGGTGTTTAAGAGCCATGGACAAGACTACCTCGTTGGTAACAAGCTAAGCAAGGCTGATATTCACCTGGTTGAAATGATCTACAACATGGAAGAGTTGGATGCCAACATTATAGCCAACTTCCCTCTGCTGCAGGTGAGCTGGCTCACACTTCCCATCACGAATCTTGCCTTGGGCATGGGATGGTAGTGTTTGATATCTAGTCTTCTTCAGACTTCTTCTGCACACTCATCCCTAGGTCTCCAAAATGAAGTTCTAGGGCTTTAAAATAATCTAGTTCTGTAGCAAAACTTAAGGTGGGTGCTACTCAAGAAGGACCCAGAATCCCTGCTCCTGTTTCAGCCTCCATCCTCTTATTCCACTGACATCTCTTTTGCTCTCTAAGATGTTCATCATCCTAGGTGTAACTTTGTCCTTGCACAGAGTTCATCAGAGATGATCTCTTTTCATCTGATTTCTTACCCTTGGCTGTCACTTCTACTGTCAAACATCAACTTCTCTCTGTATAGCCACACACACACACACACATCCATCTTAAATTGTCTTTATCTCAACATAAAAGTAGATTATGACACATCATAGCTTGCATTTGTGGTTGAAACTTGCCTTTGTTTTCCTCAGTCTAGTTTATTTTGCTTAACACAGTGATCTCCAGTTTCACTCATCCTCCTACAATTGTCATAATTCCATCCTTTATAAGTGAATAAAATTCCACTGTGTATCTGTACCACATTGTTGTATTATGTTTTGTATTATTTGATTTGTATATGTTGAACCAACTTTGCATCTCCAAAATGAAACAGTATATGATCCTAATGTGTTCTTAAGTGAGATATTTGTAATTGATATATTTTTAAACCACAACTACTGAACATTTTTTTTCCACTAAGACTTTCCTGGAGGACATAACTATCCTTGTCATCCCTCACTTCCACCCCATCCAAAGGGTTAGCACACTAGAATTCTATAAAGTAGTTGTGAATAGTTTCAAGGATTGGAGACTTTAAGTGGCAAAGAACATTTTCTATTGTAAATTATCATAAAACTGCTTAAGGAAGGGAGGGAGAGAGGGAGGGAGGGAGGGAGGAAGGGAGGGAGGAAGGAGATTCTTCATACATTTTACAAACACCTTCTGTGAACTCATTCACAGACTCATAGTCAGCCTACATCTTTCTGTCTGGCATCTTGGTAGTAGGCTGTTCCAGCAAAATACTGTGAGACGTTGGACCAGATGCTTTGTTGTACAGCTTTTATTGACAATGTTTGTGTCTGTGTTTAGTAAGAAATCACACTATAGGAATTGTGGGTCCTTTCTTCATTCATATGCCTATTTGGTTTCTGTTGTTGTCCTGATCTGGTTTCGATATAGGTATAATGGTCTAGGTGAGAATGTTTTCCATAGGCTCAGATATCTGAACAATTGGTTCCCAGTGGGTAACACTTTTGGGGGAGGCTTAAGAGGAGTGGCCTTGCTGTAGAAAGTAAGTCATTGTGGAGTGGTCTTGGGGCATTTATAGTCTCCCCCACATCCAAGTTGCTCCCACTGCTTCATTCTTGGGGTTCAAGATAAGACCTCACAGCTTCCTGCCACTATGCCTGCCATGTGGTACATGCCTCCCACCGTGATAGACTCCTATCCTTCTGGAACCGTAAGCCAAAATAAACTGTTTCCTCTATTAGTTGCCTTTGATCATGGTGTGTTATCTCAGCAAGAGTAACTATTACAGAAGTGTAATACTTCTGTATTACACTTTGGTTATACTAACTAAATTTATAGGATCAGAGTGGTAAAGTTTCTTATCTTCTATTTCTTGAATCAGTTTGGAAAGCATTAGTGTTCCATCATCTTTAAAGGCTTGGTAGAATTCAGCAGTGATAGTAATGCAGTCCTGGGATTGCTTTTCTGGAAGTCTCCAAATTGTCTTTGCCTTTTGTAGCTCCTTTAAGTTATTGACACTCTCTGGTTTGATTTTGGAAGATAGCAGGTCTATTTACTTATCTATTATTTCCTAGATTTCCATAATCTTTAGAATATCTTGTCAGAATATTCACTAATAATCTTTGGAATTTCCTCAGAAGCCATTGTATTGTCCTCTTTTTCATCTTTAAAGCTGTGCATTTGGGTCATCTCTTTTTCTTTTGGTTAGATTTGTTAGACATTTTCAATTGCATTCATTTTTTAAAACCATCTCTTTACTTGATTGAGTCTATATATTGTTTGCAGATGGGATTCTAAATACCTCAGATGGGCCTCAAACTCACTGTGTAGCTAGAGATGACCTTCAACCTTTAATCCTCCTACTCCTACTTCCCAAGTACTTGGACTACAGCTATGTGCTCATACACCTCATGCATTTAGTGTTGGGGATTGATTTCAGAGCTTTGTACATGCTGAACAAGCACTGCCTACTGACCTAAATCCTGAGCCTATGTAGTTATTGTTCTCTTAGCTGTCTTTCCTTCATTTCTCTCTGATATTTTTGTCTCCTACTGCTTTTGACATTGGCTTGCTCTTGTTTGTTTGTTTGTTTAAGACTTTGAGGTGCATCATTAGGTTATTTATTTGAAAGCTCTTTGACTTTTTATTGTAAATACAAGTGCCAATAACTTTCCTCTTAAAACAACCTTGGCTGTATCAGAAAGCTTCTCTTAACTTGTGCCTTCATTTACCTTTGATTCTAGAAATGAACCAATTCCCTCCCTGATATCTTTTATGACACTCTTCACTCAAGTGTATATCATTCAGTCCTCAAGTATTTCTTCAATTTCTACCATATCATATGACACAATAAACAATTTTGTGTTTTTATTGGTAACATCTATTCAATATTTCCTATACTTAGTTCCAGCTCCATTTTCTCATACTCCTCTGAGTTGATCTATGACAGACTTTTGACCTCCTTGCATTCTACCAGAACCTACTAGATTAAGGTATAAGGGAGAAGATAAGGATGATTATAACTTAGTAAAGCCTTAACAATATCTTCAGATAAAGTGCTAGTGACCTGTTTTCTCCCTCTTCATCTTATTTTTCTTGTCATTGGATGCCTATTGGTAACTGTACCCAGATGGTGGAAAAACTCAGATATCCTAGGCTGTGATGCAAGCTGCCTTTGTCTTTGGGTTCCTTCATAAGGGTATGGATCCTTCCTTATTTTTAACTGCAGGCTCTGAAAACCCGAATCAGTGACATGCCCACCATAAAGAAGTTTCTGCAGCCTGGCAGCCAGAGGCAGCCTCCTGTTGATGAGAAAAGTATAAAAAAAACCAGGAAGATTTTCAAGTTTTAGTGATGTGACATGGATCAAGTACTATGCCCACATGCTGACCCTGAACATTGGGAGCTAATGAGCTTTCTCACTTGAGCATATTAATGAAATAATGGGCTTCTATGACACTGTTTAATGAAAACTATTTTATTATGGATATGCTGTGGAATTGGTTTTCTAATTTTCTGATGTAATGCTTTCCTGTAATAAAAAATTAATAAAAATTGTGGATTATGTATTTCTTATAGTCCTACAACAATATCTGTCATCTCATCTATTGAAAAGTCAAGTTTGGGGCTGGTGAGATGGCTCAGTGGTTAAGAGCACTGACTGCTCTTCTGGAGGTCGTGAGTTCAAATCCCAGCAACCACATGGTGGCTCACAACCATCTTTAATGAGATTTGATGCCCTTTTTTGCCTGAAGACAGCTGCAGTGTACTTACATATAATAAATAAATAAATAAATAAATAAATAAATAAACCTTTTAAATAAATAAATAAATAAATAAAATGATCCCTTAATTCATGGGTTCTTTTCTCAAAAGAAAGAAAGAAATTAAGAAAGAATGCAGGTATGCAAGAAAGAAAGAAAGAAAGAAAGAAGAGAAAGAAAGAAAAGTCAAGTTTAGCAATTTTGTTTAATGTTCTTAAGCATGCAGAATCATGGCTGTAATTATGTAGTAGTGCCCCAAATAACAGATTGTCTTTTTAGAAATGTATATTTATTTTGGGTTTGTTTGTTTGTTTGTTTGTTCATTTCTTTTGAGACAGGATCTCACTGTGTAACCTTTCCAGTTCTGGAACTTTCTATGTACACTAGGATGGCCTTAAACTCACAGGGGACTACCTAATTCTATAGTGGAATCTTCTTTGATCTGCCAGCATTATAAATAATGACACAGAAGTTTTTTTAATATTTTAAAGGTTGGGCCTTTTAGCTAGGGCAGTCTCCCAGCCAGCTATCTAGCTTAACCTGACTAAATCTGGCACTATGTCTGTACATAGCTAGCTCTACCTCTCAGCTCTGCTTTGGTCTGTCTGTTCACCCTATGTCTGCTGAGGAATCTCCCATGTCTCATTTCTCCCAGTCTCCCTCTCCCACCCTCCCCCTCCTCTTTCTGTGTTTCTCTGTCTCTCTGTCTCTCTGTCTCTCTGTCTCTCTGTCTCTCTCTCTCTCTCTCTCTCTCTCACTCTCTCTCTCTCTCCTCTCTCTCTCTTTCACTCTCTCTCTCACCTATTCTGCCCTCCACTTCCTGCTCAGCTATTGAGCTATTGACTGTCATCTCTTTATTACAGCCAATCAGATATAATTCTATATTACCTCTAGGCTAGGGAGGAAGGATGAATATTTACAGAATATGAGATCAGTGATGGCCAGAAAAATAAAAAATACCAAGATCCTGCCAGCATTTAGCTCTCTGGTAGTACAGAATCAACAACTGAATATGTAGACACATCTTCATACAATGTACCCCAACATATCTCTGCCTCTAGAGTGCTGGGATTAAAAGTGTGTACCATAATACCTGGCCAGGAAAACATTTTTGTTTTGTTTTGTTATGTTTTGTTTTTTGAGACAAGGTCTCTCTCTGTGTAGCCCTGGCTGTCGTGTAGACCAAGCTGGCCTGGAACTCACAGAGATCTGCCTGCCCCTGCTTTCCAAGTGATGGGATTAAACTGGTGCACCACCACACAGCATGACAACTTATTTTTCATAATAAAAAGTTTAGTTTTTTTTAGCTACGTCCCTGAAATCCTTCAGTTTTATTTAGTGATCTAAGATGGTTAAAGCTTGGTTTTATTTGTATGTTTTGTTTATAATTTATTTACTTTGATCTTGTGTGTGAGTGTGTTAAACTTACGTGTATGATTATGTACCATGTGTGTTTCTAGTACTCAGAGGCCAGAAGAGGGTACCAGATCCCCTAGAACTAGAGCTACAGATGGCTGTGAGCTACCATGGGAATATTGCAAACTGAACCCAGGCCCTCTGCAGGAACAACAAATGCTCTCAAATACTGAGCTACTTCTCCAGCCATTATGGTTAGTTTTAATTATCAATTCAACACAATCTAGATTCACGTGTAAAGGGAGTCTCAATGAGAGATCTTTTTTTTTTTTTTTTTTTTTTTTGAGACAGGGTTTTTCTGTGCAGTCCTGGCTGTCCTGGAACTCACTCTGTAGACCAGGCTGGCCTCGAACTCAGAAATCCGCCTGCCTCTGCCTCCCAAGTGCTGGGATTAAAGGCGTGTGCCACCACCGCCCGGCCGAGAGATCTTCTAAATCAGGGTGGCCAGTGGACATGTCTAGGTAGATTTGTCTTGCCTATGTCAATGTTGTAGGAAGATCCAGACCACTGTGGGTGGTGCTATTCCGTAGGTTTTGATTCTGGACTGTATTTAAGAGCTGGGAGCCGAGCGGTGGTGGTACACGCCTTTAATCCCAGCACTTGGGAGGCAGAGGCAGGCGGATTTCTGAGTTCGAGGCCAGCCTGGTCTACAGAGTGAGTTCCAGGACAGCCAGGGCTACACAGAGAAACCCTGTCTCGAAAAACCAAAAACCAAAAAAAAAAAAAAAAAAAAGAGCTGGGAAAATGTAGTAAACATAGGAGCAATCCTCCTGTCTCTATTCCTGGCTGTGAATGTGGCCAGCTGCTTCAAGCTCCTGCTTGACTTCCTTACAGTGATGGAATGTAGCCTAGAACTGGGAGCTGAACAAATCCCTCTCTTAAAGTTGCTTCAGGGTATTTTACCACAACAATAGTCAATAGAACTAAGATACAATATTACATGAAAGTGGTTACCACGGGGCATCAGCTTCCTGTATACTGTTATTCTTCTCCTGCTGGTTTCACACTCATAAAACTCATTCAAAACATCATGGGAAATTTCTTCGAAAATCCATTCTCGTATAATTTTCAAAGACATCCAACCAGAAAATTTGAGAAGGAATATTTAAGCCTTTATGCTTTATGAAAATACCTGCCATCTGTCTTCTAATGTGGCATGAACATTTACCATCCCCTGATATCTGGGCGTTTCTTTGATTGGGCTCTGCCTCCTTCATTGGGCAGTGGATATTTAAACGAGTCAATATTTTTATAAAACAATCAGAATAGCCGATTGAACTGTATGGATACAAGAAGGAGACAGCCTTTCACAAGTTCAGCAGTGATTCTCTCATTCTCTACACTACTTTACAACATTCCAGAGTTATTTGAAAACCGACTGCTTTGTAAAATAAAGTTCTTAAAGAGCTGGAGTTTAAATGGAGGTACCCTGCACAGGTGAATTATGTTGATCCCAGAAGCCAGATGTTATTATAATTCCCAGTGCCAAAGGTAGGATACCTCCCTAGGAGTTCTTGCTCAGGGATGCTTCTGAGGCCCCCAAAGCAATAAATCCTATTGCCACTGCTCTTTGTTGCCCACTAAAACTAGATTCCAAGACACTATTCCTGGAGACACCTGATACTTTGACTGCAGGACATAGAGGAAATCAAAGTGGAAGCTAGATAGATGCTTCCTCCTTTCTGGCTAGCTTTCATAGTGCTGCTAAGGGCTAGGTAGACCAGGGAGGGACAAATGGCATCACAAGGCTTTACCCAGCTGTGGATCCTGCTGACTACTGTTTAAAAAAAAATGGTTGTCGTGGCTGTGGAATTCATAGGTGTTAGTGATAAAATGTACTGTTTTGGTAAATAAATTTGTTGTCATGAAATACCTTCTGTCTTAGTTAGGGTTTCACTACTGTGAACAGATACCATGACCAAGGCAACTCTTTTTTTTTTTTTTTTTTTTTTTTGGTTTTTCGAGACAGGGTTTCTCTGTATAGCCCTGGCTGTCCTGGAACTCACTCTGTAAACCAGGCTGGCCTCGAACTCAGAAATCCGCCTGCCTCTGCCTCCCAAGTGCTGGGATTAAAGGCGTGTGCCACCACCGCCCGGCTCCAAGGCAACTCTTAAAAGGACAACATTTAATTGGGGATGGTTTACAGATTCAGTCTATTATCAAGACAGGAAGATGGCAGTGTCCAGGCAGGCATGGTACAGGAGGAGCTGAGAGTTCTACATCTTCATCTGAAAGCCAATAAGAGTGACTTCCAGGCAGCTAAGACAAAGGTCTTAAAGTCCATGCCCACAGTGTCACACCTACTCCAACAAGACTACACCTCCTAATAGTGCTACTCACTGGGCAAAGTATATAAAACCCATCACACCTTCTAAAAATGTTTATGCCTCAGAGTAGTATTGCTCTCTAATTTGGTCTGTGAAGCTTCATTTTGCAAGACATATCAGTTGTTGCAGAGACACTTTCCTCCAACCCCAACCCCTAAATTTCTATGCCTAGTGTTTCAATGTCTGCTTACTGGAATGGGCCAACTTTTCTTTTAATATTGATTCTATGTAAGCTTTAAAAGGTCTCTGATAAATAGGATTTATAGATCTAATATCATTTATTATGTAATGCTTCTTTGTATTCATTCTGAAGAAGAAAACCATATGCCTGTGTGACCTCTAATGCATTTTGCACTGCTATTCTAAGTTTTAAAATATCGGTGTTGCTGTGTGCAACATATTGTACTTACCCTGGAAAATCTACCCTCTGAACCCTTACAACTCACAAGGGACATGAAAGAGTATGAATTAGGTTTAATACTGAGCTCAGGTCCTGAGGCAGCAGAGAATGCCCATTTGCTGAGATCCTTACTAGGTATCTTGTCCACTATCACAAGAGTCCTTCAGTGAAAAATTATTTCTCTTTGTTTTCAAGAAACGATATAGAGATTTGAACTTCATTAACTTTCCAACTTCACACATCTGTTTGTGCTATGGGACCTCATAAAATTGCAAAGCTTCTGTAAGGCAAAGGACACTGTCAATAGGACAAAACAGTAACCAACAGATTGGGAAAAGATCTTTACCAGTCCTACATCTGATAGAACGCTAATATCCAACATATACAAAGAACTCAAGAAATTAGACTCAGTACAATCCAATAACCCTATTAAAAATGAAGTCCAGAGCTAAACAAAGAATTCTCAACTGAGGAAACTCAAATAGTCGAGAAGCACCTAAAGAAATGTTCAACATCCTTAGTCATCAGGGAAATGCAAATCAAAACAACTCTGAGATTCTACCTCACACCAGTCAGAATGGCTAAGATCAAAATCTCAGGTGATAGCAGATGCTGGCAAGGATGTGGAGAAAGAGGAACACTCCTCCATTGTTGGTGGGATT